CAACTAGTGGTCTATTATCAGTGCTGCGTTCTGATTGGTTGAGCTGCTACTAGGCTATATGTTATGGCCCACTAGTAGCGGAGAGCACTGGCTTTGAAAACCAAAACAGTGACAGCTGAATCGCACTTTGCTAGCAAACTTGCTTTATCTTGATATTTTTGACCAACTAGTTGGATTTTTTGGAAAACAGTTATTCCTCTCGTCCTCATGGCCAACTCGGAGAAGTTAGCACGACCGTTCAACAGTTTTTCCATGCATCCACATGTGCAGTTCGTCATTATGGAGGCAATCCTCGAACAACTGGACACAACTCTCGCAGAGATTGCCTACATTGCTTTGAATAGACAGGGTCAGGAAGCCAGGATACTTTTCGGATCCAATGTCTGTTTCACAGATCCTGAAATATTCGTGTTCTTGGACGGAAGCGGATTTCTAAGTTTTTACTGAACTTCCATTACCATAATGTTTGCACTCATTTTGCTTCAACTGTTTTGGCTCAAATTGACCTATTACTTTTGCAGAACAAAAGACTTTCATGTCCTTATGGCTATAGCCCGGTCGGTACAAGAGCCACAGTCAAGCGTCAGGCGCAGAGCTGGGGTCCGCAAATAACCGCAATTCATATTACTTGCATGGAAGGGATGGTAGAAGTAGGGATCTATCAGGGCTAAGTCGATGGTGCAAGATTTGAAGAGTTTGTGGATCAAAAGCTCTGCCCGAACTTGCTTTCCTATAATGGTGTTAATCCGCGATCAGTGGTTATAATGGGTAAGGTAAAATTTTTTGCAACACCAACTTAAAAATTTCGCAGTTATGATGTGGATTACTTTTCTGTGCCTTGTCAGATACTAAATTGCCTTTCACTTCAAATTTAACCCCACTTTAGTTCACATGATTTACATCTCATTCATTTAGTTATACCCTTTTTTTTCAGTTTACTTAGACAAAGCAGCTGTCCACCACATGCAAGCAGTAGTAGACGGGATTCATGCCACAGGAGCGATGGTTGTATTCGTTCCACCATACAGCCCAGATTTTATGCCATCTGAGCCATCTGAACCAAAAATTGGATAAGGGAAAAAGATGCGGCCTGGCAACTTTGCATGGATCCCCAACTTATGGTGGAAGAAGCATTTCTTCAAGTTGCTGATGAACAAACTAGAAACTACATTTCACATGTCGAATGCTTGTGATAAATAAATAAAGACAATTTATTCAATATTAATAAGGATCAGTGGATAAATACGTACTTAATACCAAAATTTACAAAGAATTCAATTCTTTCAATTCGTTTTCTGTGAGGACGGCATCTTCTTTTAGTGCTTTAAGGTCCTTGAGCTGCTGAAGGAATCTATTACGTATCCGCACCTACAAATAGCAGATAATTTGGTTATTGATAAGGAAATAACGTACAAAATAGGCTGCATACATTGGCTGAGAAATGCCTGTCTTGCCTTTTGTGCAGCGTTGTCCATCGATTGTGTACTGAATTTACCTGACGTCAAAGCTTTGGAAGCTTTCGAAGCTTTCGAAGCTTTCGAAATACCAGTAAAAAATGGCACACTGGGAGGGGTATCCTCACTGTTGTGGGTTCCGTTAACCTATGGAGGAACAAACGATATTAAATTTTTCCAATTTTCTGAGAGGGCTCGTCTGTAAAATAAGGTAAAAACATAACAAACCCTTGAACTACAATTACACATAGTGCAACCTGACTCGTTTTAGCAAATTAGTTCAAAATTGTCTTTTTCATATTCAAGTTCATGCAACATGTTCGTTTTGTGCTGATTTTTCCCAAATATTTGTCAGAAAAACATGTCAGTGGCAAGGCAGTATTAGAGGAAATGAAAAGTAAACGATGCTTTAATTTATTATTTTCCTTACCTTTTCTCTTTCTGCTCGAAGAACCTCTCGGAACGTCTTTCTGTGGATCCACCCGCAAATGCTTCGGCAAGTTGGTTTTTCAATGATATAAAGAATTTCTTGATTCCTTCAGCGTAGTAACCGCTTTGAAATGCCGTGTCAGTTGCTGGAGAAATTTCTGCTTGACAATTTTCCAGAAAGTATTGCTTCAATTGAAAAACAGTTTCAAAGCAAGGTATGTTTAGCTGTCGAACCTGCTTTTGTTGCTATACCTGCTATAGCTGTCGATCCTACTTTTGTTGGTTTCTCTTAGCTAGGACCCGCAAACACACGTCCATGGCGTCATGAGCCATTTTCTCACAATTCCCTGAAATGCTGAAGGCAGAACCGGGAATTTAAAAATGCCCACAGTACCTTTCGGGATTTTCGCGTGCACTTTTACGCTCTTTTCCAACAACCTTTCTCGAAATAGCTGTATCAAAAGTGGACAATGTCAGGCAGTGCAGAAGGATTGTAAACAATCTCAGTGTCATTCCTTTCGATTTTATGGTTAATCCCTTTGGCAATAGTGTTAACAACATCGGTACAAATATTCTACGAATGTCGAAAAATTAATGCTGGATTTTCTCTTCTTTCCCTGTAAAGATTTACAATTAACTGCAGCTCTTTTCTCGGCCTTTTTAATTGTTGTGGTGTCCGCTTCATCATCGGCTAAATCATCACAAACAAATTATTGAACAAGTGCATTTTAAAAATTTGACATGTAAGAAGAATGGAAAGCAGTCAAAAGTCACTAGCTGAGGCTAAACAATGACATTATTATTGCTGGCAATAGACAGTAAAGTTCTCTCGCAGAAGTAACAGGATTTTGCGATAAAATAAACAACTTTTGAAACGTTCAGAAATTGTAATCTTTTAGTCAGTCAAACCATGAGGCCCATTCCTCAGTGTTGGCCGAAAACAGATTAAGAATCCACAATCTTTGAGCAAAGAATAGGCTTTCTATGACAAAATTACCCAAACAAAACACTCACGAGGCGTTTTTATGCGGGGACAAAGTATTCTGGTAACACGAGCTCAACCACACACGTACATACCTGAGATTGGTCTGTCAACACTTTTGGTAAATCACAATAAATGACTTTGGCGACAATCACAACACTTCCAAAAAAAACACTCAACATGTCCACACTTAACACGGGCGAAATCGTCACGTTGAACTTTCTCGACTCACTGACAGTCCATTTATTCAAGATGGCAAATGTAAACCAAATGTAGCAGTTGAAAAGGAGAAACACACCCCCTGCCTTTCAAACAATTTTTTACTAAGTCTTTGGCCTGGTCAGAAATCAGCGTCAATTCCATCTCGCCTAATAGATTTCATCCCTAGAACCTATTTAGTGAAGCCAAAGACTTGTTCTGCCAACAACAAAGCTGGCAATATCCAATCTTTCCGTCTCAAGCCCGGGATCAGTCTTTCACCCATGTAGCCCAAAATGAGACGAAATACAAGAAGATACTGGACATAGCAGACTTTGCCAGTCGTGAGAATTGTTCCTTCATAAGGCTTAATGATGCCTTCCAGAAAACTTTGCTTAAGGCAGCCAAAAAACCCTAAGACAACCCACTACGAGAGCTGAGTTCAGCCTAATACGCACGCTGATTTCAAACTGACATACAGAGAGAATTATGGGAAGTTATGAAAAACTTTTTTTTTGGGGGGGGGTAGGTTAATACTGCAGCTTATTCGGTATCGATTAAATAAATAAAAAGTGACAATGAAAAAAAAAAACACATGCTCTACTACAAGACTCAGTCAGAAGGTATATAAGAGAGATTTCTTAGCCGTGTTTTTGCAAATCCAGACAGATATATACATATTTTGTAAAACTGAAAGAAACTACACTTTTATCCCTACCAGCCTGTTTCGTGATTGTGCTCTCTTCAGGTCTTCAGGGGATTTTAATGACAAGAATATTCATACCTGTCTTTTTTATACCTAAGATTTACATAATCAATGATGTGGTTAATCCAAATGATGGAATGTTTAGTTTTTAAATAGCAACTCTTTGTTCCTGTGGTGGCAAGAAGATAAGCTCATTACGTTTGTTAAGTAATGACAAATCAGGTCGACAGATTATGAAAAATTTCTCTTTTTAAGGCAGAGATTGCATATTTTACTTGAGCTATTGTAGGTTTAGCTTGATGAAATGATTCGCCATGAAATAAAGTGGTCGATGTTCTTGTTTTTAAGAGTCAAGATATGTTTGCTGAGTTTTGGTCGAGTTTCTGTGGTTTTCGTGACGGAATGATGCAGTGTGGTGTCTGTATCTTGTCTTGAAGTCGTTTTCTGTGAGTCCGATGTACATTTCGGAAGTGTTATTGTCCTTAAGTTTGACGATCTCTTGGTAAATAACTGATGATTGGAGGCCGTTTCCGTGAAGTGGTTATGTGTTTTGTTGCCAGTTGCGTTGTTTGCAGTTTCGTCTGAGTGTATGTTGTGGTTCAATTTTATCCTTGGGTTAAATTTGATTTACTTTTGTTTTTGGGAATGGTAATGCATGATAATGAGCTTGAAACACAAGAAAAATAATAACATGTAAACCAAGGATAAAATTGAACCACAACAACTAGAAGAAGTGGCGTTCTGGCGTTGGCGACCTGACCTCACACACATAAAGACATTTGCAAGTGATTTCTGGTTGGTATTCGTGATCTCAAGAACTATAAACTCTCGCACACTCAGTGTTCAATTTACCTTGTCAGTATGTCTTCTTGGTGTTCGTGAACTTGACCAACTTTTGTTAAGTTTCCTCTTTTGTGTTGGCATGGCGTCCATCCATCGAGTACATAACTAATCTTTTTTTTTTTCCAAAGACATAGCCTTGGCTAAGTGCAATTCATTTGTTATGTTGAAGCGATGATTTCCAATGAAGTAACCTAATTCAAAGTTGGTTTCGTGCACCTACATCTCTTCCTGATAGTGGTCTACAATGTATTGCTTCAGGTCCAAAATACTATCAAAATGATGAACATCTTTCAATTAAAAAAAACGCTAGTTTCTTTTGTATTCGGAGACAAGAACATGGGAAATGTAATTTCCAACTTTGGGTTTGTTAATATCCAAAAAGGGAATTTCTATTTGCCAAAGTTGGAAAGCGGTATCTCCATATATGGTTAACTACTTATCCAAAAGCAGAATTTTATATTTCCAAAGAAGGAAAAATATTAACATCCACAAAGGGAATTTCTATTTGCCAAAGTTGGAAAAGCCATATCTCCATATATGGTTAACTACTTATCCAAAAGCAGAATTTCATATTTCCAAAAAAAGAAAAATCCCGTGCAAAATTGATTTCCAAACTTGGATTCGCGGCATCCAAAGGTGGAATGCCCTTTTTTCTAAATGTGGAATGTGGAAAATTTCTTATATCCATGCTTGGTTGACATTTTCTTCCATAAATGCTTGTAACTTTCCGCAAAGCTAGACTAAGGTGGAAACATGTTCCCCTGCCAGCAATGGCACTAGCTTTCCAGGAATATACAAACTTTGAAACACATAATGGGTTTAACATAGAACTGAAGCCACATCAACACATTCGAGCAGTACAATGAAGTGATACAGAACTCTTTAATCAAGATTTACATTCTTTTCCTGAACACAAGCAATGTTTACCGTAAAGCTAGGATACTGCATGTTTCAAGTCATGATTTACAAGTCTTTTCAGCATGCATCCACTCTTCACTATCTGTAAAGGTTTTTTAAACACATCACATAACAACAACTAAACTTATGAAAAGGAATTGCATGAGAACTTTATTCCTCAAAAAATCTAGTAATAAGGCCTTGACATACAGAATACAATTACCTGTAAACTAAAATGAATTTAAATTACACTTCAAAACAAGAAGCAACTTTTTTATACAATAGGTGAAACTGAGGTCCTTTAGTCCTTTGAAAATGCCGCTATAAATATCACTCCTCTTTATAATGTAAAGTGAGCATCAAATAGGTGAGTAGTTTAGAGCTGTTTCAGTCTTCCACAGTTTTTAAAATCTTAATGTCTTTTATGGTGAGATTTGCCAGGTCAGAACTATCTGTGAATGACACATAATTGTTGTTGAGGAGGGCAGCTGCTAATGCCCTAATGTATGTATTCTTATCGTGACCTCTAAGAAGGGATAACCCAAACATTTTCTTTAAAGGCTGTAAATGCTTCGCAACTGGACTGAGTCAAATCTAGAAGAAAAATGTGAATGGTCTACACTAATAAATTAATTAACTAATAGTGATGATAATAAATATTAATAGTATATAACTGTATTTCTCAGAAATACCATATCAACTGTGCATTTTTTCTTCTTTTTTTATCATAAAGTTTAATATAGCGTTTTATCGCACTGTATCAAAAAGTCTAGAAAAATTCTAATAGACAGAAACAAGTACCTCTCCATACCCTAGTTTATTACTGCTTCACACTTATATCTTGGACTCCTCAGTTTATTCATATGGGACAGTGACCAACACGAAAGCTTTGGCTAATTTGGTCACTGTGTGCACATATCAACAAACCTGTTTATCATATTTACTTTTCACCATTTGTTAACCTACTGTTTTTTCTAAGCCATCTTATGCTGTATCAACTTGAATAATGAGCAATAAACTTGACCTTGATTAAATCGTGGCTTAAATCTTCTGGGAAGTTACAATGTAGAAGGTGAGGTGGACAATGGATGTTGTTCATGTTAGAAGGAGTTTGTAGCTAAAACTTTAGACTAACCTGGGTGAAAGTAGTCTGCATGCATTTTGATCTTTTTCATAGATGATGGAGGTGATGAGCTTGGGCTGCTACTTGAGTCTTCAACACTTTCAGTGTCACCATTGCTTGCATTTGGATCTGAAGTAGCCCCCTTCTGGATTGCAGTATCTTTGAAACTTCACCTTCTCTCGCTTGTATGGCCCATGACCATTTCTCGAATGGCATTTGTACCAAATGCGCACTGTAGGAAAATGTATTTAGATGAATCCTTGCCTTCACTTGACCGTTTCGCAAAATTATTAAGCTTTACAACTTCATCAATTTGGTGAGGACGGAAAGAGGGTATTTCTTCATCAACTGGCCATGTTTTTTTAATTTCTGCAACTACCATCTTCTTTCTGTCATAAAACACAAACAAACAAAAATAAGACAACAATTGCAGGCCTTGCAGAGATATTTACCCAACGTTTTGAACCTCTTCCTCTCACCCTCTCCCTGTTGTAAATACCTTATATCATTACTTTGACCCTTTAAAACCTTAATTTCAGCTACATATCTTCCTAATTCTCCACATCATCCTCATAGATCAAGAAGACGTTTTTAACAATTTAATTAGACATGCATCTGTATCTTGACTCATCAAGTAGTCGATTGCTAACACAGGAAGACAATTTAAGTTTGAACAATAAAATTAGTCCCTATTCACAACATTGTTTCTTTAAGTAAAAAATCTTACTTTGTGTTGTAAATCCCCTTCTCTTCACAAGTCAGATTCTTCTTTTCATGATGTGTTAACAGCCTGTCAGATTTGGATAGGTGAACTTTAGTTGCCATAGGAGGTAAAGCTGATTTTCTGGATTCTGTTTGCCCTGTTCAAGATTAAAACGAAAATTTAATCATGGTTTGTGAAAGACTATAAAAGCATGTACGTATTAAATCTAGGATGCACGTGCATGCTAACTAAAACTGATGTCCTCTTATTTTCAATATTTGGTTTCATTAGAAGATTAGCAGACTTGATGTGATTGGCACTAATTTAGGCAAAATACAGTAAGAACCATAGAAATGAGCCTGAAAGTAAATCTAACCTTTTAACTGCTCAACAAGACTCCTAAAGTTCTCCTGGTTCCTCAACGTTAGCAGTCCAAGATGCTCCATACTCTCAACACCGGTGATTCGTTCACGGAACAATGTTGCCCCTGTCATTTCTTTGGCTAGAAATTTTTCAGCGACGTTTTCATCAAAGACCTGAGCTGCCCAGTTGTTTACTCTTTCTTTTGACCAGTCTGATGTAAGAAATTGAAGATAAATGCAGTTAAAGATCCCATTTTTGCTTGAGCAAAGCATGTTTAAAAAAGGCACCAAAAATATGGCCAGCAAAAGCTTATCATATATATTGACTGTATTTCCTGTGACATAAACCTCCAGACGTATGGAATTTTTTACCTTAGTGTTAGAAAGACATAGCAAAGGCGTTTTCGTCAAGAGTTGAATTATGAGGCAACATAGGCTTAAGCCAAGAACTCGTGGGCTTAAGGAGTACAATCGCACTTGAGTGGTATGAACCGATTTAACGAACAGATTATCATTCTGTGATTGACGTGTGTAATAAGAATGAATGGAAGATACTGGATTAAAATAATCATCAAAACAAGATGGTACCACTGATAACCAAAAGAGAGAATTTCAACAGGAATTATAACAGAGAATTTAAAGAGTCTGAGAGACTTAAGCTGGGGCTCTGAATGTGATCTAGGGTCTGAAAACGTTGTTATTCTGACAACTCGTTTATGCAAAGTAGTTGCTGGTTCTAATTAGGTCGGGTATGTAAGACCCCAAATTTCAACGCTATAATTTAGAAAGGGGTAAATTAGGGAATAGCAAAGCATAATTAGTATATCAACATTAATATACAGTTGATTCCAGATAACTCGAACCCTCGCTAACTCGACCCTCAAACCTTGCCCCAACTCGAACCAAAATGGATTTCCCCTAGATTTCCGTCATACATTTACTGTAATTTTACCCTCGATAACTCGAACTTTCTGCTAACTCGAAGTAGTTTTTGTTTTCCCTCAGATCATTTCTATATAATTTTACCCTCGCCATGTTTTGTGCCGTTCAAAGTCTGGAAGATACAGTCTGCTGGCGTCCCAAACAGTGAATGTTGAATTTCCCATTGATGTGTTGTAGACATATAGTTTACTATTGGAGGCTGATGTTGTTTGTCACAAATCTAACGTTAAACAGCTTTACTTCTCAAAACAGTAAAATGCTTGCTCTAGTTGGGCAACGTTTTGTTACGTTACGTTCTGGTTATAATCTGGAAGTATCTTTTAATTTTCACTTGACATTTCTACAATTAAATGTGATTAAAATGTTCACTAGACAATAAAAACTGCTTTTTCCTTACTCCCGACTATTTTTTCGAGCTTCTAATAACTCAAACCTTTTTAAATTTCCGTTGAAGGTTCGAGTTATGGGTAGTCAACTGTAGTACCTTAATTTGGAGAATATACCTACAGTTTCGATAGTTCTAAGCAGAGTTCATTATTATGATTCTTACAAGTCAAGTTTGAGTCAAAAGTACCACCTACGTATTTGACCATGGAAACGGGATAAACTATTGGTACAGTTAGGATCGCAGTTAGGATCGCGGTTAGGATCGCAGTTAGGATCCCGCAGTTAGGATCCCCCCTTTGGATCCCTAAAAATTGCCTTCAATTTTCCAAATGTTTCCCGGGTAGACCTTAATTAAAAAGAAAATTTCTCACGCAGTCGCAATATGGAACGATTTGGACAACAGATGGTTTTCAAATGACGTCACGGCGGCCATATGACCATGTGAGTGAAAACGATCTGTAGAGGACAACGCGAATTAAACCTGGGCACAAGTCCTGTGCAATACAAGAATTAAAAAAAAAAACTGTCAATAGACTGTGCAATTCTCCAAGATCGCGACCAAAATTAAAACTCACATAATGCATTTTTATTCCTGAGGTATTTCTAAAACTTATATTAGGCATCGATTTGTTCTAACCGCTCTAATGAATTTGCATGCACTATTTCATTTGTTGAACAAAAAAAATTATTCTGTTGATAACTGTCACTGGAACTGTACATGCAGAGCACGCTGCAAATGATTTAGTTGAAAGGAATTCAACTGCAGTCCTGGTTCGAGTCGTATCAGAGGGGCGCTGAAGTATGGATGCCTATTTAATAGACATCCATTTTCGCAGTGGTAATATCTGTTGGTTTCTCTTCCCACCATCCGATGCCCAGTTTTGTCTATGTAGAAGTCCTTTCCACAATGGCGAACAACCAAACCAGTAAAAGTAGCACCACTGGCGTCCAAAAACTCAAATGGGCATCCTGCACATTTCTTTATAGAAAGGTCAGAGCGGAATGCGAAGTGGTAATTTGAATATATGAAACAATAGGTAGTTCTTCTTTTAGCTATCTGTCAACACTTAAAAGCCTCTGCGCTCAGCAAAATAATCAGTGATCTTTGATCTTTTCACACGGCGCTTAGGAAAATTTGAAAAGTAAATAGGAGACATTTGCACCTCGTAGGGCTAGAAAGGTCAAAGATTCAAGTTTTCTACTCTCACTCACTTTATTCTCTTCTAGCATAAATATTGAGAGGAGATCCAGTACCGAAAAAACAAAAATATGTATGTTTCCACTCTTTTTGGCAAAAGGGGAAGGGACGTTAGTAATAATCTTGTCTTTATACCCCGGGCTTTATACACAGTATTAACTACAGAAGTGATTTTTTGTTTGGGAAACAAGCTACATCTTTCGGAGGGCGAGACTACGGTGTATATGTGTAAAATTATTCACATTCAGTATTTGATTACATGGCGGGGTACAAATTATTATTTGACATGGTAGGTAAAGTGTGTATATGAAACTAGTGGCCCACGAGGCTGGAGCTTATCTGGTTTCCTTAGCATGAAGCGACTAGAAGTATTTCTACTCCCCCCTGGATGGGATGCTAGTTCATCGCAGTGTTGTCCCCAGCAGTAAATTAGCCGGAAGTATTTCTACTCCCCCCTGGATGGGATGCTAGTTCTATAGGTTGAGAGATTCATCGGGAGAGGGGGGGAGGGGGGGTGGGAGGTGGAAAACAAGGGAGGGGGCATTTCTTTTTTTAAATTTCTTTGGGGATCCGAAGGCAGGATCCTAACTGCGATCCTAACTGAGGGATCCTAACTGTTGAGATAGCTAGCCTCCATGGAAACTTCTTGGATGTTCAAACTATCAATTTTTAAATGTAATGAATTGCATGGTTTTAATTTCTTAGAATGAAAAAGAGCAAAATTAGTTTTCAGAATATTGAGAGCTAGCCTATTAGACTTCATCCACTCAGCCACTGCATGAAGCTCTTAATTTAGGATTAGTTCAAGATCGGGTCATTACTTGAACAATGTATATTAGTGTCATCCGCAAATAACTGGAAACTGCGCAATTTCGAGGTGTTAGGTAAATCGTTAATATATAGCAAAAACAACAGGGGTCCAATAAAGGAACCCTGAGGTATTCCACAAGTGATTGAGAGAGAATCAGATTTATGACCATTGATACATACAAATTGTTCTGTATTGGACAGATACGACTGAAACCAGTCATAGGCTTTACTTCTCCTTCCATAATGATTGAGTTTTGATAAAAGGATGGAATGATCAAATGCCTTTTTTAGATAATTAAAAATACCACATCCAAACCCATTGTTGCAAATTGAGGTGCAGATTGATTCAGTAATTTGNTCCTAACTGCGATCCTAACTGAGGGATCCTAACTGTTGCAATAGCTAGCCTCCATGGAAACTTCTTGGATGTTCAAACTATCAATTTTTAAATGTAATGAATTGCATGGTTTTAATTTCTTAGAATGAAAAAGAGCAAAATTAGTTTTCAAAATATTGAGAGCTAGCCTATTAGACTTCATCCACTCAGCCACTGCATGAAGCTCTTAATTTAGGATTAGTTCAAGATCGGGTCATTACTTGAACAATGTATATTAGTGTCATCAGCAAATAACTGGAAACTGCGCAATTTCGAGGTGTTAGGTAAATCGTTAATATATAGCAAAAACAACAGGGGTCCAATAAAGGAACCCTGAGGTATTCCACAAGTGATTGAGAGAGAATCAGATTTATGACCATTGATACATACAAATTGTTCTGTATTGGACAGATACGACTGAAACCAGTCATAGGCTTTACTTCTCCTTCCATAATGATTGAGTTTTGATAAAAGGATGGAATGATCAAATGCCTTTTTTAGATAACTAAAAATACCACATCCAAACCCATTGTTGCAAATTGAGGTGCAGATTGATTCAGTAATTTGCATGATTAGTTGAGCACTTTTGCTTAAAGCCAAATTGAAGTGGATAAAGAATGTTTTGATACTCAAGATAACCATAAAGGCGCTTAAACATAGCTTTTTCAAAAGTTTTACTAAAATAGGCAGGAGTGATATTGGCTCTTGCTTAGAGCCTTTCTTAAAAACGGCGGCAGCTTGTGTCAATTTAAGTTTACTGGAAAAAATGCCACAGAGAAGAGAATCATTAGTTATGGATGGCAGAAATGGGGGAATAGGAGTCTTAAGAATTTTTAACAATGGGACTGGGATATAGTACGGACCAATGGATTTGTTATTGTCGACTTGAGATATGTATGAATCAACCCCAACTGAAGTAACATGGGAAAGGAACATCGAAACAACAAAATTGCCCTTCATAAAAGTTTGGACATGGTTTCTTAGGAACATTTGCATGCAAATTAAATACTGGCAATAAGACCCTCAACCTGCTGAACAAAGTTCTTTACTGTTGTTAGGACATTTATGTAATAATATTAGTAATATCACTTATGAAGCACTATATCTATAAAAATAATGCCCTGTAGTGCTAATTCACAGAGATAAATAAGACTAACCTAACCTAGATCATGCTAGAAAAGCAAAAATTCAACTGTTTACAAATGATTAAAAATATGAATATTATAATTTACATTCCATTAATAAGCGTGTAGTGTGGAGTGCCACTATTAAGGTGGCCCTTTCTCCTTCTATCGTCTTTTTTGTAGCTTGAATTTCTTTGTTTGTTGCCATGCCCTTTAATGCGACATCTTAGCATCAATTCTTGTAGAGTGTTTTATCCCTTGTGTTCCAGGGGAAAGGTGAATTTTTTTTAATGGCCTGTGTGCAAACTTGGGAGTGGTTTTTAGTGCCTGTGTGTGCGTTTATATTGAAAGATTCTTGTCTTCTGTTGTACACTCTACATGTATGTTTTCTGGATACCATAGACTAAATGAGGACAGGTTCTGGAAAGTTTAGTGCTTTATATATTGATTGGAAGTAATGATATGTTATTGTAGAATACTCAAGAGTACGGTGAGTAAAAATACAAATTTTAGCTGTGGTGTTCAAATAAATGACAACGAAGCAGAAAATATTCAAACGTGTACCAGCTTGTGGTGAAAAAGCCTAGGGGATCTTATTTCCATAGGTAATGAGTAGTAACATTGTGCTTGTCCACATTACATTCCTCCCTCACAGATGAATGGCCAATATTCTTTTGGCTCACTGCACATGCTACATGATGGTCATTGCTCTCACTTGATCTATGATGCCTGTTTTGGGGGCTTTGCTGCCAATGGTGTTATTTAATGCTTCATTAGCTTGGCTGGAGCCAAGTGGAGCCAGCTTTTCTGCTTTGCCACAGTAAATTTCTAAATGGTATGTTGGAGGTCCTTTTTCAAGTCTTCTCGCTCCAGATCTTTGCCATGAAGTAGTGTGTTGTGCTGGTAGCTGACTGGATATTTTAGGTACTTACACCAATAGATGGCACAATTGGCATGATCTCCAAGTGCATGTGAAACTATCACTCACGTCAAAAAGACCTGAGAGTAATCAAGGGAAGGGGCCTCATGTAGATTTTGGATGGGTATGTGCTGCTCAGACCTCAAATTTTGGACCCAGTTTGAACGGATTTTATATACAAAATGATGCCCTTTGAGACAATTGACACATTATAAGTAAACCTCCAGAATTTGCTTTTCCTGGTCTTTTCAGATTGATACATGTATTGCTAACACAAATAACCTGTTGGGTAGCATCGTGTGTCTGAAATGAAAGAAAATGATCAGATAAAAAGAAATTGTCAGCCAACACGAAAAAGATACCTGTTTGTTTAAAACCAGTAATTGTTTAAAGTAAATGAAAGGCATGACACAAGCTAGGTCGGACCTTGTTAAAAGGACTGTCCTCCTCTGAATCACTGTGTACATGTATCTCCACCTGAATCTCAACTTAAGTCATTAAAGATTAAATTGAAGAAAAATTAACTCTTATCTTATCATTCTACAAGGTTAGAGAGAGTCGGAGAGTTGGCATGAAACTTTGAACAAAGTATACGTTTTCTCCTTACCCTGTGCAACCTACAACAAATTTACAGTGCACTCTGAAGATTTGTCAAAAGATCTAGAGCACTGACAAATCCGCCATCTTGAATTTGATGCTTATGGGTCAGCAGTTGCTCTGGCACCCCTGTTGGAACGTAGACTTTTGTATCAGTTATTCGATTTGATAAGAAATTTATCAGCATTGATCGGAGGCCTCTGGAGGTGGATATAAAAAAGGCACGTTTAATCGCTTTCTTCTGCAAATAAACGTGAAAAAATGCCTGATGGATTGATAGATGTGTTCAGCTTTTGTCTTAATCTGTGCTCCCACGGTCGGTGTCCTCAGTTCGCGCTTTGTTTACAAAATAGTAAGATCCACAATCAGACGCACAGATCTGAAACTTCCCTATGCTTTTGCAATTCTGATTTATTCATTTCCAGCTGTTAGAATGTTAAACACAACAGGGAAAAGAGAAGTCGCGGAAAATTTCCGAGTTGCACTAAGTGACAGCTATTTCCAAGCCGATTTCATCACTAAGAAAAGCTTTCAATATACAACATGCCTACACACCCGCTTTGATTATAAGTCCACTCCATGGCTCTGGCTCGCCGATGTCAACGTCCACCCAAATATTTTCTTTAGTACCAGTTAGCTTCTGAGCTGTCCCTAAAACCTTGTTCTTTGAAACTTTCATAGAGGGAAAATTTTGCGGGAAGAACATCAACAGTTCCTTGGGTTCTAGAAATGAACGTGTTATTGACATAATGAAACCGTAACCTACGAAACCATCACGTTCAAAGCACCATCTCTTTCAATTAAATCAGCCACATTTACTGTCAAACTTGTTAAGTTCTCTGATTTGCGTCTTTACTAGAACAGATCATCAACTGAGGAGAAACTACACATGGAGGGAAATCTGACACAAGACCTACACGTGTTCGGTGTCATATTACATTATGTAACATCCTTCCTCCTCTAAGATGAGTGATAACTAAATGAATTAACTAAGTCATATCAAGTGACAAACAAAAACAAAGGTAAATAACGAATCTAAGCCTAACTGAAACTTAGGAAAGCAAAAACAAATGATATAAATATATATATATATATATATATCTGGATTTTTGAAAACCGGGTTAGCAAAAATATCAACTCATTCTACTACTTTAAAGTTGTAAACACTTTTCAGGCGATAGTTCTGGGTTTTGCCTGATATTTCAATGTCACATAGTAGCCTGTCATCACTCTACAATGCCTTAGAGCACATGCAAAGAATATGAGAATGATTGTACCTAGAAAAATGTTTTTTTTTTACCAAATCAGCTCGCCGACAAAGAACATGCACGTATGAGAGAATCGTGAGAGACATTTCACTGATTTTTGATGAATTTAAAGATGCTCCTTTGTGATTTCTGTGCAATTTATACCCGGATTTTTGAAAACTGGGTTAGCAAAAATTTTCAACTCATTCTACTACTTGGAATTTTAAGCAACAAAACTCATTCAAAGGCCGATTAAAAGCCTTTATCTGAGCTGGGCAGTAAGTTAGTGGTCCTTAGAAGCATTCCAACGAGTCCAAATTTAAAATGACTCAAATTTTACAACATTTATTCAGTAAACTGACTTTGCGAAGTTTCAAACCGGTGTCATTTCAGTCTAGAAATTTTTAAGTTGAGTGAACTGCAGCGAAAGAGCGCCTGGTTAAGGCTTACATAACAACTTAAATAGTTAGCAAAACACTACTTTTTTCGCGGTTCGATAAACAACAGAATTCCGCAAGTTATCAGGACTGTACCATCTCTTTATTGTCTCTAGCGAATGTGGTCTTTGTAACAACAACAAATGGATGTCCTTGTTCTACCCCAAAATAAGAGTGGAATATAGCGGTTGGCATATCATGTGAAGGTGTAACACCCTTTCAAGTGAAAATCCATGTTCGAGTCCATTATGATTTGCGCCCATTCCTTGACAGTTGCAGAGTTGCAGGACAAGAACTGTGTCTGCCACAGCTCTTAGCGAAAGTAGAAAGAGGAAAGATTAACTGAATCCTTATCAACTAATTGCTAAGGATTTACCAAGATCAGTAGCAAATAAGGTATGTGGTTGATTAGTCCAGATCCATGGCGGCCTCTGTGCTTGTCAGGGTCCAATTCCTACTTCTGGCACAACGACTTTTCTTCTCTCAAGTCTCTAGCGATCAACAGAGTTTGAATATATTATGGTCAGACTAAAAAGAGATCTGCTAGACGTTCCACCACCTCTGTATGTGGTCAACAAAGACTTCAACTCTCACAGGAAGTCAGATGTGACGCTAAAGGTGTTGACTGACACTACCATCTCAAGCGCAAGTTCATTCAAAGAGAGAACCCAGACTTCTTTCTGTCAGCTCTAAGAAATCCACCCATTGTGAAGCCAAATCTGTCGGCAGTGCACTTCGGATGGCTGGAAACTGAATTAAAATGATGGTTTGATTCCAGTAATAGCCTTTTTTCCATGTAATTAAATAACTTTTGGCTTTCTCTACCTAAGCACTATCTCAGGCCGTTATTTAGCTTCAAAAAACTTATAGTTGCACACTCACTCGAAAGTAAAAATTGTTTTTAAGCTTCACTCTGTGCTTCATGGGGGACTTGAAGGTCCTGACACTGTCACCAAAATCACACAGCCTTCTTCACAGTGTGCATTCCTGATGGAGAGTCATTTTCTAACTACTTTTGGTGAGTGAAGAGATATTTTAGAACAGAACATTTTAAGCTTTACTTCATTCCTTTGTGAGATGCGCCCCAGTGCAACTTTATATTAAGTTCCCACCCAGTTTCTCACATAACGAGTACAACGATCCTTTCGGCATATAGTTTGGAGATCTTGAACTCATGGAATATTTTGTCTAACTATCACTTAATGTAACTAAATATAAGGTATTTGTTCCGTCTTTAACTGAAAAGTTATAATGATCGGTAACAGCATTCCACTTTTACCTTTTTCCCAATTTAATGTCGGGTTCACATCTCATACACTTTACAGTTCTTAAAGCTCTAAGTTCTGGCATAACCTGACATATTACATAACAAAACTTGACATGCATACTATAACCACATTGAGACAACTACTTAAACGTGGTGAATTCTAACACTGAAAACGGCTGTTGTTTTACTGACAAGTAGATAAGGTTGACATAAAACTAGAAGGGAAAATACAATTGAAAGATCTTAATTACATGCGACGAGAAATGTACTAAGTAAACAAAAACGAATACAAACTTAACTAGAAAATTACAACAGGCGAAATAATAAACCAAATGAAAGAGGAAACGAAAAAAAGACTACCTTGTGAGCCTATTATAAATTTGTCCAGAAAAAGCAAAATCCATCCCTGAACTAGAGAGCAAAGTAATCTCTGACCGCCGAGCTAACGATCATGCAACTTAAAATAACGGCTTGGTCACCTGACCCCAAAAGGGCGCAAAAATTACACTACCGCGCGGTCCTGGACTGGCTAGCAGCCACATGGCTCCCTACAGTGTGAATCCACTGTCTAAAGTAAAGTGCTACTAAGTGTTTCTAAGACAGAGTTCCGATCAAACGTTAACGTAGCTCCTCGTCAGGGAATTCCCGGTCACTTTCCTGGATAACAACCAACTTATGGACTGGTCGCTCGAGGTAATGAACAGCATCAATTCTTCGTCCTCGCTTGTCAAGACTGCGCGTGGCGATAGCAAGCTTCATCTTTCTAACAAGGCCATCTTCACTTGTAAAAACGTCTTCAAGTCTTGCCAATTTCCATATGTTCCTAGGTGCGTTCTCATCTTTAACGATGACAATGTTGCCTACAAGCATGTTGAGCTGTGGTTTGACCCATTTCTTCCGCAGCTGGAGTGTTTGCAGAAATTCCTTTCCCTCCTTTAAACGCTGTTTAAGTCGCAAGCAAACTGCTATAGCCCTCTTTGCTCTGAACCAGTCGGAATACCGATCCAATCGGCTAATCTCAAAATGAACTGGATGCGTCTCGCTTCTTTGCGTCACCAGTGATGCTCTCTTCACTTCGGGATCGTCAGAATCTAGTGGTTGCGGATTTTCCTCTACTTCTGTTCGATAAGCGCCCAGACTCCAGAGGAAGTTTGGGCCTGTAAGCCACCTAGAATCATCTTCTACAAGCTGATGAGCTGTAAGGCCTCGAGAGGCGCAATCGGCTGGATTCGACTTTGATTCAATGTACTGCCACTCTTGAGGGCTGGTGTGATCATGAATCTGCTGAATGCGATTTGCCACGAAGGTGTGAAAGTGCTTAGTCTCGTTGTTGATGTAACCAATCACAACCCTGCTGTCTGTCTAAAAGAATTCTGATACGTCCTGGTAATCAAGTTCCTTCAGCAGCCATTGACTTATTTTAATCGAAACGACAGCAGCTTGCAACTCTAATCGAGGAACTGTTATGAACTTTAACGGAACAACACGGGCCTTTCCCATAAGAAAGGAAAAGTAGGCTTGATTGTCCTTATTTAGAAGACGCAGATAGCTGCACTGGCCATGTCCTGCTAAGCTTGTAACAGAAAAATGATGCACCTCCACTGCTTTAATTTCACTGAAACCCTCAGGTTTGTAACATCTAGGTATCTTGAGCTTCTCCAGCTCGTGCAACTCGTTTTGCCACCATTTCAATTTCGGTCTAAGCTGCTCACCAATTGGGTCGTCCCAGTCGGCGTTGCAACGACATAAATCTTGTAGTATTTGTTTTCCCATCAGAATGAGGGGTGCCACAAAACCAAGTGGGTCATATACGGAACACAGGGTGGACAGGATCCCTCTCCTAGTAAGTGGACGATCTTGAATAATGATTCTGAACTGGAAGGTGTCTGACTCAGCACACCACATGATACGAGAGTTCGTTCTAGTGGCAAGGGGTCACACGCGAGGTCCAATTCTTGTAATCCTTTTGCGCGATCTTCAGGAGCAACAGCCTGAATGACTTCTTTCTTATTGCTGCTGAACTTGTGTAATCTGAGGCCAGCCTTTGCACACATGGCTTGTGTGTTGCGAATGAGGTCGATGGCAGTTTTAACGGATGGTACTGACTTCAATCCATCGTCTACATAAAAGTCATAAGCGTCACCAGTTGGGACGAACTGATATCCTTCAACAATTTTCTTAGGAGGCCCCAACAAGTACTGCAGAAGGTACAGCATTTTCTCGTTCATGTTAGTAGCCCTTTTCTCGATCACAGTTTCGAAAGCAACCTTCCATGTTGGCCAAATAAGGGGGTCTCCACTGAATACTGTTAGGTGAGGCGTTGGTAATCTTGCCGCCTCCATGCCTTCAGCTATCGCCTCAGTGATTGCACGGTGCTGATTTTCAGTGCTGGCAGGTTCACTAAAGGGCTGGATTAAAGCAACTCATGGTTCTGAACGAGAGGGAATCTTCCCTGGCGGGTCTTGCACACTATCTTGGGTTTCCTTTTGATCTGAGCTTGTTCCTTGCACTATGTTTAGATGTGCGCCAAGGGCCATTTCTGGCGACATGGAAGGATGTACATCTTTAGCCGAAGGTTCAAACAAGAATGGTAAAGGATCCTGACTGCCGGTGGAGGAGAGAGTTGTTAAAGATGAGACA